ATATATATATATATATATATATAATTTGACAAGAAAAAATCAAATCTCAGCTTCTGTCTCACCTTGTTGACAAGATGGTCCAACCCAACCAGGGCCACAGATGCACCTCCCAGTTGCAGGGTGACACTGACCTTCTTCCCCACAGGAGCAGGAGTTTGCACAGTCTTTACCATAATACCCTTTTGGACAGCCTGCACAAGCATAGTTTTGTAGTCATTAAACTCTAAATGAAAAGAATTTTTCCAATACAGCATTTGCACAAAACATTTTCTGTAATAGTAACTAAGAATTTGTTTATGCAGGATAAGAGGTTATGTTTTTAAAGACCTACTTGAGCTGCAGTCAGCTCCAATGTAACCAGGAGAACAGTAACATGTCCCAATCCTGTAATCACAGTAACCACCATTGAGACATCTGCACCTGGACTTGCAGTTTGGCCCAAAGGTACCTGCTCGACATCCTGGACACAAAGCAAAGAAATGTAGTAAAAGTTTACTCATTTTGCCTTTGTGTTTTTTGTTTGTTTGTTTGTTTTWGAGTTTTCCCAAAGACGTGACAAAATCTCGGTTAAAACAGTTCTTAATTTGGTTTTAGTTTGCTACCACAAAAGGAGGCAAAACATAAAAAGCCCAATAGAACACCTTCTGTCACATTTCATAGCATTAAACCCGCTGTTCCTTCAGAGTGGTGAGGTATACTTACGGAGCCTGCAGTGTGCCCCGTAGTAACCAGGTGAGCAGCTACATTTTCCCGTCACAGGATGACATTGTTCTTTGGCTCCTGGACACTGACAAAGTTGGCTGCAGTTTGGTCCAAACCAACCAGCAGGGCAGGCTGAGGCGACACAACCAAAAACATCACCAAAAACACTGTTATCTTTTTCTAAAAATAAAAGTTCAGACCTATTGCAGTTGGGTTCAGTTCATATCTTACTTGTACATAGCTTTTTGAACAACCTCCGTTTGGAGAGATACAGTGGCTAAAGTRGATTGCTGCGACAACTTCATATTTACATTTTTATGTTAAAGCTTTTTATGAAAAAGTCAATGTCAGTTTTGTACGAAACAGTTGTTTTAGTAGAAATATTATGRCATCTGTGCTTGCAAATATCTAAACTCTGTGCAAAGAGCTGTATAAGGAAAAATTGACAGTGATGTAAAGGTTTGAAAACAGTGCATGAACCATTGTGATTTTTTTTAATTAGTGCTGTTTTTAAATATGGGGCAGCACAATGGCTCAGTTGCCTCTCAGCAAGAAGGTTGCTGGACTGAATCCTGGTAGGGGACATCTCTCTCTCTCTCCATGCATGCGTGGGTTTCTTCTGGGTACTCCAGTTTCCTCCCACAGACAAAAAACATGCATGTTAGACTAATTGGTAACTCTTAATTGTCCCTAGGTATGAGTGAGAAAGTGAATGGTTGTTTGTCTCGTTTGTTTCTGTGTCCCTGTGATGGACTTGTGACCTGTCCAGTTGAGCACCAGTGAACCCCGTGACCCTGAAAGGAAGAGGTGGGTGAAGATAATGGATGGAAGTTGTAAGATGAGAGTAATCTACTTTGGTCTTGCTCAGACTAGCTATTAGCTTATCAATCTGGTCGGAGYAAAACTTGCTTCTGCAATCTGAGTYCGTTCAAACAGCAGGTGAGCTATTAATTGTCTATGGCCTTTCCAGAAACCCACTTCAAAAAATCTGAACTACCGCTTTAAGTCTAAATTGTTCWGGTAATAAGTTTTAGTTCCCTCCCCCTATTTTTATTTCATTTTGGCATTCACTTATAATTGTAAGATAAGTGACACATCAGCATAGTGTTAAATGACCACATTGTACAGCTCCGCACAGCTTGCAGATAAGGCCCCAACGGTGGACACATTCAGCACTTTGTGGGAACAAAGACACATGCCATTTCCCTTTCCTCTCTTAGACAAATCTGTGAACATACAGGGGCATTCAGCACTTGACTGGTAACAATCCCCAACAACTTTCCCTGGTGCCCAAAGCCCAGGCGCTCACAGAGGAACATTCTTTCACACACCCTTTCTGCATCCCTACGTATCCACTCATCACARTAATGAATGAAGTCCCAGGACAATCGGTCATATTGACCAAGATGAATCTGTGAACCAAACATGTTTTGGGGAGAGACCGCAGCACTCGGCTACTCAGTCAAGCAGCAGCAGGCAGCGTGGGGGACAGATAAGAATGGACTCCAGACTAAAGAGGTAATTACAGCGCTGTCATTATGCATGTCTGCCTTCCAAAAGGCCTTATCTGCTGCCGAGGAGACAAAAACAATGCCTTCTGTTTTACTTGGCAGCCGGTGTGTAACATTTATCAGATGTCTAGGGAGTGTGTGAGGAGAGGAAGGGARCTGAGGCCATGAAGGGGGGGTGCTGAAGCAGCAAAGAGGGGCTGAGTAGTGGAGCTGCTCGTATACAACCCTACAGGGTGTAAATAATGAAACATTCTCATGCGGTCCTGTGATAGTGAGGGTCTCGTGTAGAGGTGGAGTGCACTTCCTAGAATGGACTAAACTGTAATCTTTCCCAGGACCAAGAGGAAAAAAGGGAGATGCCACTGACATAAATTCATTTTCCTGACACACATTTTCTTTGTTGTTCTTACTTTTCTCACAGCCGGGACCCGTGAGACCAGCTGGGCAGCCACAGCTCCCAGTCTCATGGTGGCAGGACACCCCAGCCTGGCACTGACACGCCTGGGCACAGGAAGCACCGAAGAACATCGGTAGGCAGGCTGCGAGCGAACACACAGGGACCACAAAGTTGAGCTTACCGACAGTGTTCCGTTCAGCCGGTTTCATTCGGCCGCACGCACTCACGTGGCCCCTCTCCAGCCTGGCTCACACTCACAGTGGCCCGTCGCACGGTGGCAACGCAAAGAGTGGACGCAGTCACACCTCTGCTCGCAGCCTTCCCCGAAAAATCCCTTTGAACATGCTTCAGACAGAAACGCACAAGCATTCACATTAGAGCTCGGGGGGTGCTAGAACCTTACTTGTTTTATACACTGCTCCTTCAAAGTGTGCTCAGAAAAGCTGCATTTACATTTGCTGCAAAACAAAACTGTCAACAGTCACCTGACTGACAAAGCTCTCCAGTCCATCCRGGCAGACACACACATTTTCCTGTCACTCTGTCACATCTCCCACCATTTGTACATTTGCAGGTCTCGTTGCAGTTCTCTCCATAATGTCCTTCTCCACACTCTTAGGTAAAAAAAAAAAAAGAACAGAAACTACTTTCAAGATAGCATTCACTCAACTTTAATCGGTACATATCATGCATTTTAATCTTTCCTCTTCCCATTTGTGTCATTCAGTTGTGGTCTATATAAACTGGAATTGCAATGATTTCAGCCCTGTTTTGAGGTGTGTCTGCGAGGAACCTGTTTTGGTGCTGTCTCTTTAAAGGGGCAATATCATGTAAAATCAACTTTTTTGAGTTTTATATCATGTTTTAAGTTATACTCTCATAAAAAATATGCCCAAAGTCTTGCTTTGACTCATTCATGTATGTTTGAGAAATCCTACAGCGTTTTTAGGCAGCCACGCTGAGGAGCAAAACAACAGGTGGGGACCAGAAACGCCTTTTGGGACCAGAAACGCCCTTGGGAAGTGTCTTTAAGTCGAGCTTCCTCATCACGGAGCACATCTAAAATGTCTGAGAAACACATAATATAGGCCCTTTATGTACAAATGAGGCCCTTCACAACCCACACCCCTCCAGGTCTAACTACAGATGATTATTGTCCACCCTGTCCTGTTCAGCCATTTTTTGTAGTTTGATTGCAGAGATATGATTATCTATTAGTGCAGAAACTTCTTTCATTTACAAGTTGATTATAATATGTCAACAATGAAAGACTTGTCCATTCTTTCGTAGATTTGGCATCCTTGAACTTGGACTACAAATTTGCTGTGAGGAATAAAAATGGTGGGTAGCCAGAAGTCCATGGCCTTGTTTAGCAGTTCTGCAGCAAATACTATGACGTTATTGTTCAAAATATGTGATTGGGAAGAGAGAAAACTGAGTGAAAAATATGATCCAAAGTAAGATATCAAAGCAGCACAGAGAGAGGCTAAATTAAACTTTTCTACAGTCCTACAGACTCCAAGTACACAACAAAATGTACATACACTGGTAAAATATTCCTCTTGTCTCTTATTTGCTGTTTCTGACCGGTGGTGTATTTTTTCAAACAGCTGTACCAAGGGCAACCTTTACTTTTATTTTGTTGCATTCAAAACATTAAAATGATAATTTTACCTTTTTTTTACTTTAAAATTTAACACCTAGAAATTTAAATATGACCAGAACTCATTATGAAAGAAGTTGTTATGAACTCTAAAAAAATGAAGGATTGAATTTTAACCAAGTTACGTATGTCAGCTGGTTCCACTAAACAGAATTGAGTAAATGTAAAGCAATTTACTCATCTCGTCTTAGTGGAACCAGTTGATGCAACGTGGTTAAGTAAATTCAACACTTGATTCCTTAGAGCATGTGTAAAAGTACTTTTTTTCTCGATTGTTGTGAGCAGTTTTATTACTTTACTTAAGTACTTTGCTTGAGTAAAATGTATTTTTACCAGTCATTTTCTGTTAAGATATTTTTACTTTTACTTAAGTATTTTTTTAAAGTAATTCATACACCTTTGCTAAAAACTGATGAGACTTATTTTTGTTTAAACTCAAGGTCAAGCTGTAAGATTTGCTCTAMAAAAGCACAGTGAGGAGTTTGTTACGAACCATCATGCTGCTTGAGAAAATCTGACGAAAAATGTTTAAGCTGCCCAAAAATCAGCCACCTTATGCCTCTAAATAAACAAATGGGCAGCGTTCATGTTAGGTTAGTGAAGTTATTGAAGTGAAGCACTAACTCACGTGATTGGCAGTTGAACCCAGTCACTGCCCACTAACGTGGTCACACTTTCCCCCATTCTGACATTCACAGGTCGGACTGCACTCATCTCCAAAACAACCTTTGGGGTACTCTACCCACAGAACAACACACACGTATGATAATTCAACAAAGCATCTACAATCAAACCATCTATTGAAAATGTATGAAAACTGTGAGTTTAGATTAGTGTTTGATGAGATTATGGCTTTTAGCACTCATGTTGGAAAACTTGTGACTGATCAAAGTTCAAAATGCCATTTACAAAAGAGGAAAATGAGCAAATGACAAAGATGGACTATTAAGTCATGCTGGTGGTTTTCTGCTGACTCTGTCTCTGGTACTCAGAACCACAAAATGTCTGTGGCAAGAGCAAAGTCTTGAAAAAGCTGCAGAATGACAGACTAAGAGCTTTAGTGGGCAATTCACTAGATTCATTAAAACAAAGGCATGAAATCCTCGAGAAACATCAGCCCGAGAGCAATGATTGGTTAGCTACTAAAAGGCTCTTCCAAGGCTGCGTTCTCCCGCACTCCTGACATTGAGCACTATGTACATGTGGGTGCATTTATCCAGAATAGACCTCAAATAAACCCCCGTGTGCCAGAGGGCACTCTCTCTCGTCCTCCCTGCTTTCTCCTCCCTTACCCATCCCTAAAAAAAAAAAGTCATTGGAAATGTCTCATTATAGAGATAATTGTTCACAAACACATCTTAGTTGTGTTTAAAAGAGAGGATGTCGTGATGGGCCACAGCGAGGGCCTCCCTCACACCCTCTTTTAATGATGTGGCTTCCATTACCCAGAATGCAGTGTGGTCCTGCCCAGCCGGCGGTGCATAGGCAGGCTCCTGTGATGTGGTGGCAGCGGGCATCGTTCCTGCACTCGCACAGCTGGCCACAGTCAAGACCGTAAAAGTCGTTCGGGCACGCTGTGGGTCGAGTAAAAACATCCGACTGGTTACAACTGGCAACTTCACAAAAAACGGGGGGGGGGGGGGGGATCTGAATGCCATTTTTTTAATATAGCTCTTTTTTTCCTTCCCTACCTCGTGTTCTCACCCCTTCCCTCTCTGTCCTGCATCCCCCCCTGAAAGTACCGATATCAGATTGCGGCACCACGCGGCGGCTGCCGCAAAGAGTCTGCGATMGTTAAGTGAGCTCCTGTCCCACACATGTGTGCTGGGGTCTGAGCCACATCAAAGTTTACAGTGGATCAGAGGCCGTTCCCTTTTTTTGGAGGGGGGGGAGTAGAGGGAGCACAAAGAGCCGGTAAATAGAGCACCTGCTGTGTCCACAGACCCCACCAGCACACGGCAAAAACAATGCCTGCTAAGTGGTCTCCAAGAACACACACCTACAGAGTTGCAGGAGATGCCAGTCCATGTGTCTGTTTCTCATTCTCAGGGCGTGCTGGAGAGATGTGTGTGCAGTCAGGTGACACGCACAGTTTGCTTAAACATGGTGCCTTCTACCCAAGCTAGACAGCCTTTCCACTGCTTAGATGTGAATTTTGTCTATAAGCATGACTTCACCAGAGCAGGAATGTTTATTCACAGACTACTTTYGATGGCGCAATTTGTCACTGTGGACATTACAAGTTAACTCCAGAATAACAGCTGAATTCTGCTGAACATAAAAAGTTCTCCAATTCTCAGACTATTTTACAGAAACGCTAAGGTTTGGCTGTTTGAAGGTTCATAAAAAAATCTCTTCTTTAGGTAGCTTTTCTGTTTGCTGTTAAAAAGAAAATTAAGAGTTTAGATACACAGACAGCTTTTCATCTCCTGCCACTGAAATGTGAAAGGCAGGATCATGTTTTTCTCTATGGATGCACGTTTGTCTGTCTTGTTAGCAAAATATCTCATGGATCACAGGAAGTAGTCGTCTGATGTGCAGCTACAACTGATTGCCTTTTGAAAACAACACAAATTGAGATTACGACTAGAATTAATTGACAAACAATAATGGTCATAACTGTTCATTTTACAGACATAAAATAAAATTTGGTGTGGCAACAGCTGAGAGTCAACGCTAACACATATTCAAAGCACAAAGCATTGCATGASATTTTGGCTTTGAACGTTGGCATTAAATGACTGAGTTAACCTAGTCTAGTTTGACAAACTAGAGAGCGGCATKGTGGCTCAGTTAGTAGAGCTGTTGCCTCTCAGCAYGAAGGTTGCAAAACCGAATCCCTGCCGGGGACCTTTCTGGGTAGAGTTTGCATGTTCCCTCTGTGCATTGTGTGTTTTTTTGCCAGTACTCTGGTTTCCTCCCACACACCAAAAACATGACTGTTAGTCTAATTGTTAACTCTAAATTGTCCCTTGGTGTGAGGGAGAGAGTGAGTTTGTGTCGTTTGTCTCTTTGTGTTCCAGTGATGGACTCGCAACTTGTCCAGAGTGTACTCTGCCTCTTGCACAGTAACTGCTGGACATGGGCACCCGTGACCCCCGTGACCCTAAAAGTATGAGGTGGATAAATGATAATAGATGTTCAGCAAACTATCTCATTAAAGGCTGGACAACGCAACAGTTATAATTTGGTTACAGATATTGAACCAAAAATAGACAAGGAACAGAGTAAAATTCTGAAAGATCTTCCAATATAAATATTAAGCTTAATAGTATTTTCAAAATTTGACCTAGACAATTTTAACACAGAGTTTTTCAAATAGTGGGACCACTGTTTTAGAGGATGTTTTTAAACTTTTAAACTTATTTAAGTAATCTGTTCATGTACACTTTAATSTAGGTGAGTATACAGTATGTTTTGTAAGAATTTTACTAATGTCAATAATATAATATGATAATAATTTAATGATATAATAATACTGTGCTGGGGGAGCTATTCCCTCACAGTTTATACATATTAGTCACTTCTTCCTCCTTCAGCTGATAATCTACTCCTCCTTGTTCCAAAGGTTTCAAAACGGGGAAAGTATCTCTCCTGCTCAGCAGCTTCTCGCTGTGTTCCCACGCTGACAGCATGACATCTTTGTTGGCCTCAGTAGTGGTTAGACTGCACTTTTAATAAAACTAGCCCACTGAGGATGCTGTCATCCTAATACAGCTGGACATTAACTCAGCGGTGGCAGTGTCGCTGGTTTATTGTCTGTTGTTTACTGTCAAGACTGCGCTGATGCCATGGCGACAAGCAAACACGGCCTGTCGTTTGCCCATTCAACAATAGCTCACACGTCTACTGGACATTAATGCAGCGCACATCCTCAAACCCTGACATGTTGTAGGTGGCGTGGATTATTTGTACGTGCCAGCAGGGGGAGACTCGTTTTCAACTTAACCACAGGGTGGCAATCTGTCATCTAATATTAGCCTGTTGTCTGCTAGCATTTATAAATGTAGACTCTTCCCTTTGAGACTTTGTTTATAGGTAGACACAGAGGTTTTTCAGACAACCACAGCAATTGCGCGCACGCACACACACACACACACACACAGTGCCATCATTGAAAGCCTCCATCTCTCGACTAAATGAGCTCTTTAAGACAGCAGGATTATTTCCAGATCCCTGGTTGTGTAAGAGCCACTGCTGTCAGCCCATAAAGAAGGTCCAGAGACCACACAACCAGCGAGAGCAGACCACAGAAACAGAGCGGAGAGACCGAGTGCAGAATAGAGCTTCCTGGTGCAATTCAGGGTTTTGTACTAGAATTAAACAAGCAACAAAAACAGCGCGGATGTTCTGTGTCGGTTGGACCAGGGTTCTTTCTTCTGCAACCAAATAAACTGTTTTGATGCAAACATCAAAAGATCCAGACCAGCGTGATCCAAGTCAGTTGAAAAAGTGGAAAGCTGGACTCACGTCAACACACACAGGCCTCTTTCTTCAGAAAATTATTGAGTGAAATGTTAYGCATCAACACAAGCACCACAATAGTGCTTTTTCAAAAATGTAAGGTATAAGGTCTTTAAAGTGATAATCTGATCATTTTTAATTGATGCTCTGTCAAAGAGTTATCATATATTAGCTAATCCACACTTTGGCACGGCACCATTGTTTTCTTAACCAAACAACGTCCATATACAGTGTGTGATGAGCATAGATAGTGAAAATGCCAATAATTCTGAGGCGACTGAATGTTTTAATATTAGCTAGATTGATGTCAACGTTTATACTAAACAAAAGAAAGATTTAAAAGTGTGTGAAAAGTAATTTTTGACAGAACATCACTTCAACAATTAACAGATTATCCCTTTGAGGCACATATTAAATGTATTTAGAGGAATCGTCCACGCTTGATAAAAGCTCTGCATTGTTGAGGCACGTCTTCACATTTCTATTTTGAGAAACACATAAATGAGAGAGATCTGGATCTTCTCACAGTGCAGGCCTCTTTCTGATTCCTCATGAAGTAAGAGGCCCAGTAGACGACTAAGAAACTGGACACCTATGTTTAARCCTTAAGAAAATGAAATCTGGTCAGACTGTTAGCCTAATTTCCACAGCAACATCCAATCAGAGAGATGACCGCCTGTGAGGCCATTAGACTGTTATGACTAGAGATGTGAAGCTCCGCTCTAGTGTGACACGGCCGTGATTTACGGTGTACCACCGAGGTGGTATGAATTTCTAYGGCTGGTATAGTGAACTCCCAGTAAATCTTATAGACTGTAATAACACAAGGCCACTTCAAGTCAAAAGACTATAATCAAGAATGAATCTATTACATAGCTAAAACTCTTGGACTGTTGCAGTTCGGGACAAACATCATAATGGTGAGATGAATAGTTGCATGAAAGGTTTGCTATAGCTGAGTGGCTGCAAAGACACACTCCATCTGTCCCAGAATGACTAATACAAATTACATCTTGGGATGTGTGCGGTTTCAAAACGGTTTTGCTCATGACATTATATGGGCAATCTGGTGATTCATTGAATCCACTCAAACTGTGGCAAAGCTCAGACAATCGGAAGAATGTCCTGCAGCGCCATCTTGTGGATTGTCAGGTAACACGTGTGGTTAACAAAACAAAGTTGATAAAGTTTTAAAAAATTTGTCACGTTAACAAGTTCTACTAATTATTTTGTAGCTCTTTAAGCCACCATATAATTTGTTTCTATAGCCAAAGATTTTTCAACAACTATCTCATATTACTTATTATTCRGGTTGAACAACATCAGTCACAATATTTTACGGAATGGGTTAGATAAACTACAAGTTTAGTTTTTTTTAAAGGATGAAAAGCAGGTGAAAATGTTCTTGCCCATGTCTTGTTTTGTGAAAATGTCTCTCTGTGGAAATGAGACAGCCTATCTGATTCCATGATGAAGGATAAAATTAAATAAACTTTTCTGATAACAAATGTAATTTTATTTTATTTATTTATTTTTTCCTCAAATTTTGTGTCTGTTTATTTGTCTGTCAGCAAAATATCTCATGAACTAGAGGACTGGTCATAATGGAACACTCACTGGCTGTATAAATACAACTAGTTAAAAGGGAGGTATTAAATAAAAKCAACTTTTTTGATCTTTATATCACRTTATGTCATTCCCTCATCAAAAACATACCAAGAGTGTTGCTTTGACTCATTTATGAATGTTTGAGAAATCCTTGAATCTCTTGTGGTAGTCATGTGGAGCTGCCTAAACACTTGCTGGTACAAAGCTCCGCCTATTCCCACAAAGCTCCTCCCTGCAGCCGAGCTCCTGCCCCACACMGCACYCCTCCCCTGAAGCATTGTTGTGASGATGTGCTGAAGTGGGAGAGTTGGGGACAGTAGGACGTTTTTAAAGAGACAGAGGCCAATTTCGGGGTGTTTAGATAGACTATGATGCAAATTCATATTTATTTTTGATAAACACAGCTTTTTCAGAACAACTGAAAGCAACATAGTTACTTGACTGTGGCATAGAATTGAAATGWATCTGGAAATAACATAATACCCCACCGCCACCATTTAAATAAACACATAAAAACACACAGGCTATCACGATCTAGGGATGCTGACTTTTCGTCAGCAGCTGCTGCCATTTTCTTCCCAAACTGCTGTGACCAGATTTTTCAAGGCTGCTCGGTGCGTTTGCTTGTAATTCCCTCCTGCTTCGTTATTTCTACAAATTTCAATCAAGCGTACTGATGTCAGGTAGTTAGTTATAGCCTCGTCTTCCAGTTTTTAACTTTTGTTGATGCATTTTGATGAGACAATTTTTTGAAAATAGGATCATCCGAGTTTTTCTAGTGACCCCTTAAAGAGATAAGCTGCCATGATGAACATTATTTTATCTGCCCTTGTTCCAAATTTGATAATGATTTGAAACATCAGAGTATGTTTTTTTTWAAATCCGGAACAGTGCTTGTTAGCAAATTATGTTGACGCTCGTCTTCGTCACTTGACACATTTAACGCGCTGTCATTGGTTGAGGAGCTTTGTTTACAAAACAGATGTCCACATGGTTTTTAAATAGTTTTAATTTCCTTACTTACTAAGACACATTAAGTTGATTTGATGCTGCAGTTTGCCTTGCAATATTATTTTATACCCTTTCTGCTACATTTGCATTGGATATTATTAAGTTTTATTAGTTTTTTTAGGATACAAGATGCTTCCTACAAAAACCAGAATATGAATCTTTTCCTAAAATTTCATGGTGATGTCTTGAACACTGAGGAAGCTATGAGCAAAAATAGATAAGAACAAGGTGAAATGGTCACAAAGGCTCCATTGGTTCTGCTGTGAACTGCAGCAAGAAAACATGAGCTGATTTCACCTAAACAAACATCAATAACTTCTCTCATACTTGAAATCATCACATGATTTTGGTGTTATTTTGTATGGTTTGAAATATTCTTTTGGAATCCGCTGTCAGATTTAATATTGGTGTAAGATTAAACATTTATCCACATCCCTACATGATCACCGGTCTTTCATGCATAGTCCTGTGAAAAAAGTGAAACCCACAGAAAAGTYAGGTGAAAGTAAATCTAAATCAGCTATATTACATTCATCTGGAGGCACTGCATAAAAAGAAGAGTATATACATTGGCCAAATACACTAAGGAAATGCTACTCAACTGGGTGATTTCTGTCTGGCCTGTCAATTAGTTAAAAAATATATAAAACTTTTCCATTAATAACCTTTTTTATTTATTTTAAAAGTATGACTCAATGCAGTAAAATACACTAATTTAAGGGGTAAAAGTTAATCATACTTGTTCTTTTGCATAAAGTAGTGTTCCCCTATAATTGGGTAAGGCCTCTCCACCCCAAGAGCTGTTGGATTTGGATTTGAGTAACTGTGGATCTCTAAACAATTTTGTTGAACCGCCCTGCACTAAGCATACCAACAATGTCAATTTACCTACACTAGTTCTTCCTTTAAGGAATGCATATCACCTGCCACCAAGGATCCAAATTGACATTTCAGTTTGGATTCAATCAGAGATGCATTTGAATTGACTCCATTTACGAATCTAAATGTAACACTAAGCATAAAATAAAAGTTAGGGAACCTTTCAATTTAGACAAAAAGGGGGACATTTTAGATGTTTTTACTGATAAACAACATAAACAACATACTTATCTCACAGTAAGCTCCAGTAAAGCCCAAGGAGCATGTGCAGGCTCCGCTCACATGGTCACAGAGGGCTCCGTTCTGACACCGACACCGCTGAGCACAGCCAGAACCATAGCTGCCATTTATGCACTCTGCAGAAGACAGTGAATGTGAACTGTATTTTATATGGCAACATAAAAAATAGCAATAAAAAAACACCAAGTATAACATTTTACACATTTAAAAACAACTAAATTCAGATTAAAATTTCACATGCAATAAAATTTAGCAGTCTACATTGACTCAGTTTACGTTATTAGCGTGAGTGCCACAGGGTGGCAGCATTGACTAGATATTTTCAAATTCTGTCGCTCTGTCACTCACTCTCTTCACACTGGTCTCCAGTGTAGCCCTCCTCACACACACACTGACCGCTGACCGGGTCACAGTCCAGAGAGCGTTCCAGGCACTGACATCTTCTGGTGCAGCCCGGGCCCCAGAAACCTGCTTCACATGCTGTAACACATGGAAACAAACAGGCATGAAGAGTTACTGTCAATTGGTCTGAGTTTCTTTGCTATTATGCTCTTTTATGTACAGTACAGACCAAAAGTTTGGACACACCTTCTCATTCAAAGAGTTTTCTTTATTTTCATGACTATGAAAATTGTAGATTCACACTGAAGGCATCAAAACTATGAATTAACACGTGGAATTATATACTTAACAAAAAAGTGTGAAACAACTGAAAATATGTTTTATATTCTGGTTCTTCGAAGTAGCCATCTTTTGCTTTAATTACTGCTTCACACACTCTTGGTA